GCGTGGTGGTGCAGATGGAGGAGGTGACGCGGACGGTGAACATGGTGATGGTGCTGGTGCCCCCGCTGCTGCTGCTGCTGTGCATCCTGGGCCTCACGTACGCCCTGGTGCAGATGCAGCGCAAGGGCGCGCCGCGCATGCTCCTGTACTGCAAGCGCTCCCTGCAGGAGTGGGTCTGAGCCGCCTCCCGCTCCCCACGGTGCTAGGGCCAGGCTGGTTCTGAGACTGCCCCTGGGGCACCCGGCGAGAGCCTCTGGTGGCTCCCTCGGCCCCTGGGTGGGGCCCCCCAGGCCCTCCAACATCCCTGCCAGCCCTGCCCCCATGGTTAATTTATGCCCAGGGTTTTTTTGTTTGGTTTTTGCACACTAACTGAGCATTGGTTTCTACTTTGCTGGCCTGGGCCAGTCCCTCAGGGCAGGGGGTAGAGCTTTCTAAATGGAGTTTAGCTCCAGACCTGGAATTAGGCCCCACCCACCTTTGGCGAGGCCACAGCGCCAGCAGAGGGGAGGGTCCGAAGGCGCAGGTGGGAGCCTGGCTGAGCTGGGGAGGTTCTGCCCGCAGCCTGAGCCCCAGGGCCTGACCAGGAGCTCCCCTGGCCTCCACCCACCTACGTCTTTCTCTGCCTTAGGAACAGCTAAGTGGGTGTAGGCTGCCAGGGCCACCCCAGGTCAGGGGGACTGGAGGGAGAGGTGACCTGGCTGTGAGTCCATGTTGAGTTTGGTTCCTTCCCAACCAACCCCAGCAGCCCGAGCTCCTTGTGCCTAAGAACCCTGCCTGCCCCTGGCCAGGGAGGGGCCGGCAGCCCCCAGCTCCCATGTACCCCTTGAGCCCACACCCCTTTATCTGTCTAGAGAAGCGGTTCTGGGCCCGCCTTACCAAGGACCAAAGGGCATCTGCCAAGGCCCCTCCAGCCAGGAGCCTCGCCGCCCTGGCTGGGCCTCCAGCCCCCAGTCTACCTTCTCTTCTCTGAGCTATAGGACCCACCTGGGCCCCTTCCCTGGGCCTAATCCCATCCTCTCTCGCCCACACCTCCATCCTCAGGGGTCTCGGAACCCCACCAGCCTCAGGCTCCAGCTACCAGTTCACCAGCTCTCCTGGGAGAGAGGGGGCTAATGGGTGCCCAGGCTGGGATGCTGGAGTCGCAGAGCATGCCCACCTGTGTGGGTGCCCACAGCCCTGCATGCACCAGGCTTGGAGGGGGTTGCTCCCCTGCAGCTCCCTGTCCCCCCGGGCCCTGGTGGGAGAGGCCAGCAGGAGCCACTGGGGCCTGGAGGCTGCCGGGCTCAGCCCTGAGGGCGAGCTGCTCCCTTCTTTTCCTTCCCAAACCGAGCAGAGGCGAGGCTGCTGTGGGAAATGGTACTGTATAGCCGGCTCTGCCCCCCAGAACCCCGAGGCCCCGAGGGAGGGACTTCTCATGGGCTGGCCCCCAAATGCGGGTCCAGCAGCTTCCGCCCCCTCCATCCTGAGAACGGAGAGCCAGCCAAGCGGGGACGGGGTCCGTGTCCACCCCCATATGTGTCTTTCTGTAAATAACCTGCACTGATTAAACCGTATGGCTCGGCCAGCGAGCGTGGCCTCCTTTGTAAGAGGCCTTGGGCCGGAGCTTACAGCTGGAGGGGCTGCAGGTGACGGTCCCTGGTGGGAGGGGGCGGGG